GAGTTGTTAAGAAATATTTAAATTATTTTACAAAAAGACACTTTAATGCCCTTTATGTTGTGTTTATTATATTAAGAAAATATTATAAGTTTGAAATAAAACATATAAAAATGTTAAAACATTAAAATGAAAATGAAAATTATTAGTGAATTTTTTATTAAAATATTTTTTGTATAAGTCATAAGGTTTTTTAGTTATTCTTTTGGAAACTTATAGTCAAGAGAATAAAACAAACAAATATATATATATATATATATATATATATATATGTATGTATGCATGCATGCATGAATAGTTAAACATACTTAACTAGACCTTCTAAATAAATACATGAATTTCTAAAAAGTTCAGATACCCACCTAATTAAGTAAAAATGGATGGATATTCTAATTAGAGAAACAAATCTTTGAAAACTTTAGTATTGTGAGACAAATACACTTAATTGGACGTCTCAAATATTGTTTAAAAATATTTTTAAAATCTTAATATTTGCTTAGAATTTTACTTAAAGTCTTTCCATTATTAGAGATATGTATAGCATAAATAACACAAGATGATCTTTTTTTTGCATCATGTAAGAAATCTCTTAGACCTACAATTATGAGTTTGATTGTACTAGATTTATGACTTTCTACTTAGTTAACAATACTCTTAATTATATTCTCCAAAAAATCAAGATTACAAGAAATCTAATATATTTTAAAGTTATACATTTTTAATCATCATAAATCTGAAATAATTGGTTTAGAAGGATATTTAATAATATTAAATATTACAAAGCTACTATAACCATTAATTGTTATTACTATAGGATAGATTTCATGAGTAACATCTCTAAAAGACAATAGACAACCTTCTATAATTTCTACATGAAAAATTTTAATTTTTTTTTAATAAAGATATGCTATGTTTTTTTACTAAATTCTTAATCTAAGAAACAAGCTAAGGCTTATGAATCTAACAAGGCAAAGGCTTTGTAATATTTAGATTCTAAATTAAAATTTATTATAAAACAAGGAAAGAATTCTAAGTAAAAAATAAGACCTTCACTAGGTGTTGTATAAGTTTTTAGCCGCAAAATTCCTATTGTAGTTAGACAAACTCATTTTTTGACATATTGTCTTCTTTAATAGCCAAACTCTTTATTTTATTGTTGCGTTGTTTCTTCGGACAATGTTGAGTAGTGTGCCTAGGTTCTCTATAATATAAGTACAATCTTTCTTAATAACGAAAAGTCTTTTTTTACTTAGCAAGAAATTTTAAATATATTTCTTTAATTTGCATATCCTGTACTTTTAAATATACATATTGAGAAGATATTGGTATTTCCATTGAATTATAATATTATTGAGATCTACTTCTATGACTCTTGAATTGAAATTTAAGAAATTTGTTGTTACATTTTATAAAAAATGTCAATTCTTTGACTTAATGTTTCAGAATTAGGCAAATTAAGCATCAATATTTTTATCCTATATTGTAATCTATAAAAAATTGGCTAATGAATGCAATATCATTCTACTTAAAATAAGTTCTAAGTTTTTTTTATATTTGGATCAAAATTCTACCAAAAAAGCCTCCAAATTATCCAATATTAGATCTTGTTGTTTAAAAAAAAGATAAAAATTATGATAATGCACAATCTGAAAAAATGTATTAATAAACTTAATTTGCGATCTTGAAATTGGATAGTTTTAAGATTGAAGTTCAATTGTCAATTATACTTTATTGATGAATCTTTAAAATTTTAATCTTAGACAAGGTAATTTTTGGTTCTCTAATGCTTTAATGATGTTCTATAATAGAAAGAGTAGTATGATTTGGTGTAGATGTTGCAGTAGCATCAATCGTCTCTATATCTTCACTACCTATTAATCTTGCTGCTCCTTATAGTATTAAATTGTGTTGATGCATAGCAAGCATTAACTCTCTCAATTGCTCTTACATTTATACTATTATATTCTTCATTTCACCAAAATGCACGATGATTACACAATAGAAAAGTAGATGTCTAATATCTCTCAAGATAAATATAAAAGATTATTAGAGAATAATAGAAATTCTAAAAAAAATATTAATTTAGAAGTAGATAATCTACAACTTCTAATATACTTATGTCTTATCAAAAAAAAGAAATAATCCACTCTTAATCAAGAAGAAACAAAGCTTTGATATTATAAGTGTATTCTTGTCAATTTATGAAGGACAAGAACTTGATGAAGACAAATAAAGAAGTGAAACTTTTTGCATAAGAAAGATGACAAAATAAAAATAAGAAAGTATGAATTTTCAAAAAGAAATTAAAATGGCTATTGCCAAAAGATAAAAAAAAAACTAGAGATTTTTGAAACTAGACTAGATGCAAAAAAATGAGTTGGCAAGAATGAAGAAGAATTCACTCTTGCCTCTATATATACTATCTACGTAAGAGCTATGTGGCGATGCTCTATAGGATTTCCAACACATGTTCAATTTGCAAGATACATGTTTTAACTTATAAGGCAAGTTTCCTACATGGATACTATATTGTTAGCTTATACCACAAGCTATTAATATGTTCGACATGTGGCTAATTTGTTGGCCAAATTTCTAACCTACCAATCACCTATAGATATGTATAAAGGTGAAACGACATCTATAAAGTTTTTAAGAAGCGATTCTAAAAGTTGTTATAAAATTAATTTATTTTTATTTATTTCTACCTATTCATATTACTTAAGTAATTATTAAAGTAAATATGTATGTCCATAACAATTGATCATTAATATAATCACAAGTATTTTAGAAAAAAAAATATCATTTATATATATATATATATATATATATATGTATATTTCTCAAATATGCTGAAATATCAAGAATATCATTATATTCTTGATAAGAGTAAATATATGCTTTAGATTTGTGGTAATAGCAAATATATCCTCAATAGTAATAAGTTATCACCAATATTTCTTCTTTAGTCATCATCTAAGGCTCAAATTGTGGAGTATAAATATTTCATTGTGTTCTTTTTTGGCTTTTTGAAAATTGCGAAAAATTAACCTCAGTTTTTTTTTTTTTTTTTTTTTTTTTTTTTTCATCGTAGACTATGCCTCACATTGCAAATTTATTGACACCAAGAAGACTTGATTAATAAAAAAGTTGATATCGATATAATCAAGCACCAATAATTGATTAACCATATTATGGCAATTGCAACTCTTGTCAATATAATATATTTTGATCAATATTTTTATTGAATATAAGAAAGACATGTCTGCAATTTTCTACAATGATGCAACAAATCATTCCACATGAATGGTAGGATAAGATCCCTTCAAAACTCTAAGTACACCTAATTTACATTCCTACAATGGAAAGAATTATATATTCATTTGAATTTATGGTTCAAGATCATGTGTATGGAAAATGATAACATTATCTTTCAACCACAAAATGATAATTATTTGAAGAACAAATTTTTACAATCAAAATACCTCCCTATTCATAATCACAAATATTTTGAAGAAGAATGTTTATTTGTGAAGAATCCATTTTTATTCTAAGCTCTCAAGTTTTGATTGAATAAAGTAGAAGTATGTTTCTATGCTTGCAATCATTGGTAGGGGAGCATCTCATTATTAATTAACATTGGGATTCCATATTAGAAGCCAAAATATTAAGAGGACTCTTTTGTCTTGTGACTAGGAATTTGGAATTGGCAATCCACTCTTCATGTTATTCTTGTGATTCTCCCTTATAATTCACAATAATTATGCCATATGCACTAGACATGGGCCATCTTAGTAGTAGTAATAACAACTATCAAATCCAAAATCCAATTTTGTATTGCAAAAAGCACCAAATCTTGTATGATTCTTTTACTTGAATTTTCTTTCTCAATAGTGTGGCATTACAAAAATCCAACTTCTATTAATTTGATCTCAAAAAAGGTAGCTCTAATGAAAACTTTAAAATAATAAAGGATGCAATGCATAAATCTCAAGCTGAGAGAAGATATGAATCTTATTTTCTTTATATATCACTTAGACATATAGAAGAAGACTGAGAATGAATAATCATGTACTAATCAACAAATATAAAGCAATTGCAATACAAGGCATGGTTTGAAAATTGGCGAAAAAAAAAAAAAAAAAAAAAAAAAAAAAGAGACAAAAAAATTTTGATTCTTGAAAAGCCAGAAAAGAAAAGTAGCAAAATCTGCATAGCCAATTATCTAGACCCCAAATGCCAACTAAACAAAGATTGTTGGTGATAACTTATCACCAACAAAGGTATATAAGCTATTATCACAAATCTAAGGGATATGTTTACTATTATAAAGAATACAAGGATATTCTTAATGCTTCAACATATTTGAAGGATATACATGACATTTTCCCTATTTAAAATCCCAAGTGGACATTAGCAATACACTTAGTGCTGTAATAAAATACTTGTTGCACAAATATGCAAGTAAAAGAAGGCATGTTGGCAAGTTCATGCTCACCAGCAACCTTGTGTTGGATCGGATAGAGATCTTATGTCACGAAATCAATCGACATCTCCATCTGGAGAACATTTCTTTGTATGACCACTTTTCTACTGCACTAGCCTCATGACCATTTACGTATAATTGCAGTCCCTTCATAGCTATGAGGCAAGTTACTTAGATTTCTTAGCAAGGCTATTACACGGTTTTATTTTGATCATAGGTTATACAATGGGTAATTCTAGCTCTGACCAACATCTCCAATCATGAAACCATAAAAGATGTAAAACTGAAAGTATTTTTGTTATCTGTAAGAAAGTAGTGATTCTTCAAGACAACCCATTGCAAGTCACCGTGACATTTACAGATACCATTTATCATTTACGCAAAATAGGATTGCCATACTAGCCTATAATGAAATTAGCTGTCCAAATTCTACAATAGGGTCAGTATTACAATCATCAATGCATAAAAATTTATGAAACTCAATAGAAATCAAAGTTTGTAAGTGGAAAAGACAGAAGAATTGCATCATGAAAATGATATATGGGCAGATAGAAAGAAGAATGAAATCACATCATAATCTAATAAAAGGGAATCAAATTGTAATAAGATTGACAAGAGCAACCAAAAGTTACTATCAGTAAGAACCTCACGCAACAAATTACTAGTTGGAAGACCTCAAACTGACAGGTCGACGAAGGCCAGGAATCTGAAAAGACACAACAAGAAATTTACAAAATCAGCAGTTGGCATCAGTATCTGCCGTGACAATACAAGAAAAATAAAAGTAAAAATGCGAATATGGTAATGCAGTCAGCAGACACAAGCTAGGGAAGCTTGGATGTCACATTCAATGTATCACAGATCAGCTCACCACAAAATCTACAGACTGATAAGTTCTGTTAACTGGTTCTGGACATGAAACATACCTCAATACCATATGTACCAATCCGGTTTCTTGCAATAAAATTAAGCACCACTCCTGCGAACTCATCAGGCTCATCCTCCTGCAGCAAGAGTAACCTTCAATATCAAAACGCACATCATAGACCTAAAACTCATCCTAAATCAGCAAACCGCATTAATAATTGCAACTCGTTACGATTAGAGGAAGTTGTACCTGAATTGCATGTCCAGTGTGACGAACAACTATCATCTGAAACTTTCCTTGCATTTGTCCAATGGTCAATGATCTGTAGAAGTTGCACAGTTTAGGCAGAACGCCAACCTGATATACTAAACTGCAATACCATATGCAAACTGCAAAACTGCAAAACGTTGTGGTAACACTAATGAAATCTCAAAAACAGTGGTTGCTTAAACTGAACCACCTATTAAGCCAGAAGAGAGATAGAATATACATATATGTATACCTGTCTAATCTATCAGTGCCTGCCAGTAGGAGAAGCTTTGGCACTGGGCAAGACAGAAACACCTCTGATAAACCTTCATACCTTGAGAGGACAGAATCAAGAGATGCATAAATCAGATTGCGACGTTACATACCGAATAATATTCTTTACATACTTATGTAATAACCTAGAAGAATATAACCTGACAAGAGTCTATGATAAGAAAATAAATAAAGTAATGTTCATGACACGAGATAAAGCTATAACAGCAGGAAAAAGCCTCCCAAGTTCCGTTTTTCTAAAATTAATAGGGCCTGTAACATTTACCAGCCTCGCCAATGAGCTTCAGATTCCTCGAGAGCTGTGAGCCACACGTAACTGTAACACAAGCAAAGAATATTTGAGTAAGACACTGACCAAATGCAGATTTTTGCACAGGTGATAGAAACTTCAAGTTTGAATGGCAATGAGCTGCTAAGAATGTATGGTACAGTGGTATGCAGAAGGAGATAACCATTTTCTATCAGCATCAAATTTCAAGGTTGATGGGACCGAAATACGTGCAGACTCGGGATTTTGAAGCGAACCACCGCCTCTTACACTCCACTCAATCTGCAATCCACCAACTAAACTGAATGAGATTAATGGTATAACAAGCGGAAAACCAACATTCGTTCAGAAAATGTAAACTACACTGCAAAGGACGAACTGAAAGTGAAGATTAGACGCAAGTTCAAAAACAAACATCCCACTATGTTTTATGTCAACACTAAACGAACTATGGACACGAGCAACCTACAGCTTTTTCAACGGAAGGAAAATGGAGCTGTCTATTCGCAAGAATTCTCTGCATATGGACAAGTGAAGCCATTGCTGTCCCCTGCAAGAACATATAAAGTTAAATAAAGTGGGAAGATTTTGAAAAGCGGATATGTGATAATTGCGGTGACAGCAAGAATGATGATCTGCAGGTGCATTATTATGTGAGAAAGAAAACACAAATGTGAAGCATAAATGCATTTAAATAAGAAAATCCAGGGTGTGTCTAACTTTGGGTATTTTCTACACATGTAGCAAAGGTGACTACAACTTACACAAACCTCTAGCCTTACCTCAACTACGTCAATAACAACAAGGCCTGCTAAAGTTGGCAAAGCACGTTTGGCGGCGACTCTCACAGCTATTGCACCTCCCATGCTGTCCATCAAGTACAACAGTTCAGTGATCCGTCAAGCAACCATTCAAGAATCACGCTTTTCTGATTCACATGATTTTAGTTCCAGCACATGCTATCAAAGTACAGCAAGCGCTAATAAAATCCCGCTCGTTTTCATAAAAATAAGGAGAACTTGGAGGTACATCGAAAAGGCAAAAATGCTGCAAGAGCTATCAACCTGTGTCCGATCAGAATAATCGCTGGAGGTTCCCTTCCGTACATAGCAGACACAACATTTAAAACATCTTGACATTGGGTCTACAAGTTCAAAACACAGGTTCAAAATTAACATCGTCAGTCCTAAATGCAACTGGGTCTGATCTGGTACTCAAGAAAGTAGTGAACAATTGCATATAAGAGCAAGTCCGAGGCTTCTTATAAATAAAACCAAAAGAGGTCATTGCAAGCAGCTGCCTAGCAATGTTTAGTAAGCGTCAAGATGTTGGGGAGTAATTGAAACAAGGCAAATGGCACTGAAGATTTATACCATGAGCAAGCATTAATCGAAGAAGAAACGTACTAAACGGAAACCAGAAATTGTCAGTGCAGTTATAAAAGTGAACAGAGTCAGAGCGCGCGCTCGAGAGAGAGCTAATGAAAGTGATTGAAAGGTGTGTAGGACCATACCTCAGCTGACAAGTCAGTGTCATCACTTGTTTTAGATTGACCATGTCCCCGCATGTCCATTGCCACCACACGCACCTTCTCTTTCATCTTTCCTGCAATTAATGCAAAGGAGAGCCTGCACAAATACCGCAGAAAATACCACGTTTTTTCATACAAGTAGATTTCACGTACTCAGAAACAGTGGAAAGTTTGACTGCAATTTACAAACTCAATCAAAATATAAGAGTTCAACTGCACTTAAATACCTTCACAACACAATTAGCTAAGTGAACTTTGAGAAATATAGTAAAAAGGCAGTTTGTCTTACTCATGTTATATCTCTTTCTCGTAATCAAGATCCTAAAATGAGATTTATTTATTTATTATTTTTGAAACGACTTACCCGGTGTATCCACCACCATGCAGGCAGAAAACAACTGGCCCCTCAGTTCCAGCCAAGTACACGTGGAAAATCTGTCACCACGAGAAATTCAGTTACTCCAGTATAAAAATCAAGGGCTGACGCCTACCAAAGAAGTTCAGCATAAGGATAAAAGTTAGACAAGCATTGACCTCGTTCATTTTAATTGGTACCAAAGTCAGTAAGCGTAAATATTTACACATGTTAATCTAGGGCCAGTAGAGGTTCGATAACGAAGAATCTCAAAACAACATAAACCAGTAAGCGTAAGGTATGAGAGGTTGAATGAAGGCATTTCTTACATCGTCAGAATCTGGTATGGCAACCATCTTATCTTCATCAAAATGGCCCTGCCACGGCAACGGAGAATACCTGCTGCTGGATGACCTGCATCCACAAAAGCACACATGATATACCAGGCTGCAATAAAACTTTAAATTTTTCATACCGTATTCTAAGTGAGACAAATGGAAATTCTACAGAAAATTGCAAAAAACAAATTCACGATATTAGTAACGAAGCCAAATCGATATGAAGCTCCTCGACACTTGACGTAATGAAACCAGTATCATGCGATGACAGTGGATTTGATGTGATTGCAACGTTTCATAAACTACACCTCCTTTCTACAACGAAGGCACATGAATTCCCCTGCAAATGAGCACCATGAAGAGTGTAACGAGATTGGATACAGTTCTTGCACGTTTTAAAGATTATCATGAACTACGTTTAGGAAAGAGAGTGCTCTTCGATGAGAAGAAATTTCCCTCTTTGCAAAGCTCGAATTCAACGCAATAACCCTAATCGAGACCGACATCCCGGACCCTCAAATCTCACAACAGAATTAAATAGGATTTAAGAGAGAAAACGAGCCCTCACTCTCGCGATGGCCGAGGCGGCACTCGATCGAACGCAGAGGCCACAGTCTCCACCTCCTGCACATCAGCGATGTCCTCATCCTCTTCGTCCTCCGTCAAGGGCTGATCTTCTGGCAACGGCTGCAGACTAGGCGCCAGCGGGGGCAACGGCGCTATGGGCTCATCGAACGGAGCCTCCACGACGGGCGTCAGCACAATTGTGGGCGACGAAGATCCCTCGTCTCGCAGGGGCGACAGCTGCTTCCGCAGCGATGGCGAGCGAGGGGCACAAGCAGCAGGAGGAGGAGCTCCTTGGCCTGCGACGTTGCTGCCCCCTGCGGCATTGATCCCCAGCTCCTCCATCTCATCAAAAGCTCCGAGCAAGAGGCACCAAATCTGTCACCGAAACAACTTCACACGTAGCTGCCAATTCCCCCTTCTCTCAGATTTGCGAAGGCCCTTGCGTCGCCAACAACGACGTCGAGCTGTCGAAATTCTTCTGCAGGCTTCAAAAAGATAGCCTCTCGGCATCCCGGTTGGTGCAGTGAGCGGAAAACTGACGGCCCCCTTTGGATGAACGTGGCCAAGTGTGGATGATTCTTCTTGGATGGAATCATCCGTTCGACATCATTGCATTTAAAAAATCCATGTTTAATTTTGAACATGGTTATAATGCATTTTTTTTTTGACATGTATCAAATTATAATTTATTTATAGATTTACCATAACATAAATCTTAGCTTCACTCAAGTGATTAAAAAGTCATATTTGAATTTAAAACTTTATCTCTCACTCTAAATTACAAGATAGTCTCAATTAAAAGATTTTTGTAATTGGCAATATAAAATTAAAGAAAAAATATAGAAATATAAAACAAAGAAAAAATCACAAAAAAAGTGAAATAATTGCAATGAAGCAATTAAACACTATAAAACTAATCATAGTTTGTCCACTAAAGTTTAATCTAATAAAAATTAAAATAAAAAAGATAAAATTATATTTTTAGATATTAGATATTTTATCTTTCTAATGACTTTAGAAAAATATAAATCAAATTTATTATAAGTAAGTTATAAAGGTTTAAAGGTAGGAAGTAAATAATAAAAATAATTAAATAATTGAATTTTATCTTAAAGATGATGTACTTAAAAGATTAAGAGTTTGAGCCTCATTAAGGCTCACAGTTATTATAAAAGGGCGTTTTAGAGAGGCTATGAGGCTTTAGTCTTATCTTCTTGCCTACATCCAAGGTGCTAAAATCCATATGAGACTTATACACCTCCCTTCTTACAAAGATTATACTAGTTGTTGGTCCTCCTATTAATAAAGTTAATATTTTTTGCATTTACAACTTCATCATAATGTTAAAAAAAACCACCCAATTAGTCTTGAAATCTTATAGAAGGCTTTAAATCTTGCATCATTTCTTCATAATGGCCCCCCAAAGTAGTAAAATTTATTTTTATTAAAATTTTAAATATTTCTTTTAAGATTTCTATAAATTTCTAAAATAAAAATTAAAAATATGTATAGTATTTTTATAATGATTTATTCAAAATAAAGTAATTTTTTTTCTATTATTTTGATTTTTTTATAATAATAAAATTATTTTTTATAAATTACAAATCTTATTTTTTATATAAATAATTTTTTATATAGCTTATTTTTCATGCTTCTTTTAATTACCAAATAAAATTTATAGGTTTTTTTTATAAATAAAATATAAGAATAGAAGACCAATATAAAAAATAATTTTTATGACTAAATATTAATATTTAATAATAATCAAAAGTATTAAATTAATTTTAAAAAATTTCTCTAAAACTTACTAAGATTCTATTTTGAAAAAAAAAATCTCTAATAAAATCCTTGTGGCTTATAAACACTTCTAATATCTAATAAATATTGAAATAATCAAATATGATTTTTAATCTTAATATTTTATATCTAAATAATTTAAAATCATATTTTTAACAATCCATCAATTAAAATCTATTGATAGGACTTGCATTTCAATAGTAAAGGTAAAGAATAACAATTCTTGACGACCAATTATTTGAGTTAACAACAATCTATACAAATTTGCATGGATTTGTCTTTTTTTTTTATATAGGAGACTTATGCACTTGTAAGAAATTTTGAATATCAAATAAATCCTTTGCAAGAATTTTGTAAATATATTCTTTTAAAGCAACAAGTTTATTTTGTAATAAATTATAAATTATTTAAAATAGAAGGTTGAGCTTTTTTTATGAAGGTCATTTATGCAATTATAAGGTCAATGCATTGGAAATATGCTATTATTATTTTTTTCAAATATATATATCGATATTTTTTATATTGCTATAAAATTCTATAATAACCTCTACCTAAACAAGTATGTATTTATTTATTTATTTATGAAATAAAAAATACTTTATATATATATATATATATATATATATATATATATATATATATATATATATATATTTATAGCTTGTATTAATGTCCAAGCTCTTATATAAGACATACTATTTCTTTTATATATATAGTAAAGAAAAAATATAAGACTATAATTTTGATAATCTACTTAAAGATTATATATTTTTTTAACTATAATAATTTTAAAAATAATAAGAATGGTTGAAAAAAATTGATATTAAACACTACTAGATTTTATGACCTTTCATTTTTATTGCTACTAGTAAAATTTTATGGATTACATCTTCTAAAGATAAATATTATTTAAATGTGACTACTACATTTACAATATTGACTTTTGTTTTAAAAATATCTTATAATATAACAAAATTATCTTTAAAAAAAGAAAAATAAAGGTCTTAGAGATTATTTATACAAAGATAGAACAAATAAGGTTTTTAAATCTTAAATACAGTTTAGCTTAAAATCAAGTAGAGGATTCAAAAGATAATATAAGACCCTCATCACATGATGTGGTAGAAGAATTCAACAATACAATCTCTAATGTTGTTGGACAATTTTAATTTTGGCATAATATTTTTTAGAATTATATTTTTTTTTTCGTGGTTTTGTTATTTTTTAGGACAAGAGTGAGTAGCATTTTTTAATTTTTTACAATACAAACATTATTTTTCTTATTAATATCAAGTTTTTTCTTGAGTTATAAGATATTTATAACAAAGAGTATCAATTTTCATGTCTTCCATGTCTAATTGTATATCTTCATTGGTAGAAGTACTTGTTGCAAAAGAATAGAAGCATTGAGGTAATAATATGCAAATTCTTCATCAAATCTTAAAAGATTAATATTGTATATGATAAAAAATTCAATAGTTTAATTTAAAGTTTGAGTATTATGCAAGTTGAGCAATAATGTTTTGAATCACATTGAAAATTTAAAAGAAAATAATAAAAAAATTCAAAAATATTCTACTTGATATCAATTATTAATTGTTAAAATTTTGATACATGAGTTAATGAAAATTATTATCTTTACTGTAAAATTTATATTTTATTGGTTATTATACAAGTTACATCATGTATTCTATGCATGGACAAAAAATGAATTCAAGTTTTCATATATAAGATCTTATTATTTAAAAAAATAAGAAAAAAATAATAAATAAATTTTCAATAAATTTGACTTAAGATGCTTAGATTGAATAATTATGATATTAAATTTGAATAATGTTTTTACTTAATTGATAAATTTTCAAAATATAGATCTAATACCACCAAACTTCTCAAAAAGGAAAAATTATGGTTTTTTAGCTAGCATATTTGCATGAATTACTAAAGGTAGTACAATTTTTGAAGGACTTCTTTTTAATGCTATTTATTTATCATTAATCACTTAATATGTTGGTTGAGATGGTAGACAAAATTGATGTATAGTAAGCATCAAATCTCTTATTTTTTTTAATGTTTGTACTATGTCATTATTTATTTCTTCTAAATCTACCAAAATTTATAAGTATTATAAAATTTATATACAAAAAATAGAAAGAAAAAATAGAAAGAAAAAATAATAGTATTTATTTAAGAACATTAATTTAGAAGAGAGCAATCTACAACCTCTAAAATATTGTAATTTTCTCAAAAAAAAGAAGAAATTTATTATTTCTCAAGCTTTAATATTATGAGTGATATATTTTTTAAATTATTAAAGATGTAAATTTAGAAAAAAATCTATAAATATATAATTATATATTATTAAAAAATAAAGAAAGTAAAGAAAAAATATATAGATATAATATTAAAAAGAACTAAAATAATTTTTGTCAAATACAAAAAAGCTAAAGAATCTTAAACCAAGACTAGAATATAAGAAAAATGTTTGCAAGATTGAAGATGGCCTCACTCTTGTCTCTACTTGTAGTATCCACAAAGAAGGTCTTTTAGAAGCTTTTTAAGAACTACCAGATTTTGGTCCAAGCGTCAAGTTATAGATTACTATTAATACGGCTTCTTAAAAATAAAATACTTATGGTTCAAGTTTTACTAGCCATGTGGCATATTTATTAGAATCTATAGATCTAATCTATATTAACAAAAATTCTTTGAAGTTTTGTGAAGAAGATATTATCTATCTCAGATATTTTACTTATATCTATTTGTTTTTATTTTCATATCTATCATAGACATTTATTATGTTAAGATGCATTAATAAAACTCATATAAAGTTATAAAAAACATATAAATAATTTACTAATAAATTTTCTATCATAATCTTTAAAAATATAGCTAAAGATATAAAATTTTAGGTTTATAAATTATGATTAAAAAAAACCTCAAATAATGATTTTACTATAGAAGGAGTAGAATAATATTATATAATATAATATACATCTTAGTTGGTAGAAATTTAATATATCTAATGGATATTCTTTAGGAGGTTTATTATCTTTAGGAGGTTCTTTAGGGGGTTTATTATAGATACAACTAAAATTTTGTATTTTTTTAATTGTGTCTTAATTAAACAATTTTCTTGTGTATGTAATTTTTTATTTGTATTTTTTTATATATAGTCACTTAATAATAATTATTAAAATATTACTGAAGTGACATAATGGCATAAAAAATATACTAATGTAACAAAAAATTTATTTATTGTATAATAAAAAGTCTATTTATAAGATTATTAGAAAATAAAAATAAATAAATTTAAAAGAAATACATATGGTTCAATTAAATCTTGTAGAAGAAATGCTATATTATATTATAAAAAAGATTTTAATATCAAATAGAAAAAATTAAGAATATAAATTAATTATAAATTAATTATATTTAAAGAAAAATTTATATGTATTATGTACAAAAAAGAGTCTTAAGTTGTTGGGTTATTTAAACATCTTCAATAAGATCTTTTATAAGTATTGATGTTAAATTAAAAAATAAAAATAAAACTCAGTTGTTATTGAATTTTTTAATTTCATAATTTTAGAATTTGGTTATCAGTTTCTTGAATAAAAAAGATAAATATAAGTTATAGATATCACTAATTTTTTATGTTATTTTAGAAGATAAGAAAAAAACATTAAGACTTTGTGTATAAAGGCAA